ACACTTAGCTTGGAGACTCACATATATTTTGAATAGTTATAGAATTACTAGATGAAGATTCTAAGCCTATGTTGCTGAACCTTTGAGTTTGAGGTCTTCAAGTAGAAATCTATTTTTGAGATCGTAATTAAGCAAATATTTTTTACAACAGACTTTTTGTGCACTTGGTTTCATTGAATTTTTTTAGTAGCAATTCCTTGATAGGCTAGTATGAGTATGTAACTATCATGTAGTTATTTTCTTCACTATTCATGAACTTCATATATTTGATAGTTATTTTATTTTATTATTTCCGGATATTACATTATGATTTTCTGAAAATTGGCATGTGGCATGTGGCATGTGGCATGTGAATGACTTCTTTTATGATCAATAGTTGGTGAATGTTTCTATAAGTTTCTTATTATCTAGTTTATAGTAATTTTGTAACACAATTTGTTAGACGCAAAATGAAACTTGTTATTATAGTTTACCATTTTTGTTATGTTGTAGATACCTTCAAATTATGGATTAGTAGTTTTTTTTTGTTTGTTGCGGATTTAATAAAGAGTATTAATTATTTGCAGGCGAATATTATTGTTATTGTTGGCACTACAAAAAAGTTGCAATCGAAAATTTATTATCTATCATGATATTAAAAAATTTTAGTGACGAGACAACTAATATAAACAGAGAAACAACAGTCAAGACTCAATAGAATTGAGCAAACAATGATTTTTTTCATAAGTAAATGTAATTTTATTTGATTAAACAATAACCAAGACGGTACTGCATCAGTACACAACTTAGAGTTATTTTTCGTAGTTTTTGACATCTAAATTTTTAATTAAAATTGGATAAATTCCTGGAGTTCCCTTCATGGCAAAAACACAAGGGGACAAAGCCAAAATAATTGGCACATGTGAACGGGTTTGTGACCCAGTTGAATATGAACATCTAATTGAAGGTCATATGTGTGGCAAAAAGGATGTTGTCTTCGTTTTATGTATATTGATGGATGTTACATGTATATTATTTTATGTCATGTATATATATATTTTGTGTATGTTGTTTGACCAAAAAGTGTTAAGCTTTTTGCTAAACTAATTAACGAGGAAATAGAGGGTGAATCCTAGTTAAACATAATAAATTCTAGATCCAAGATTGAAGGGGTCAGTGGGATGAGACTGTGTTCAAGAGCAATAAATACCAAGCATATGTTCAATGATTATCAATGAATATCGTAATAGAAGCATGCAATAAATGTAGATAATGGAAATAAATGTAATAAGGAGGAATTTATCACCCAAATATTAGATAACTTGGGTAATTCTTCTTCTTGACGGCAGCGTGAAATAATGAAAGGTATTGATGGATAAGAAATCTTTGGATCTTGTAAACAAAGAGGGAACAACGTATGTTTGAACAATGTAGTCAGTGAACAAAACAAACTTTTGTATATTCTTTATAGTCAACCTTTTACAATATGCTCTTATCAAAAAGTGAAGATCCCCCTTTTGTTTTTTATCTCTTCCTATTTACAAGGATATCTCTAAGAAACCCTAAAAAGTACAACACAAAGAATATCTAATGAAATATTCCTTATTATTGCTAAACCTATCCTACCGTTGCTTCTTTCCTCAATTTACTTGACCTCGGCAATAATCATTCTTAAGACGACTCCTCGCTGTTGTGCCGTGGTCGACTCTGTCCACGACCCTATTTATTTGCAGTTATCAAGCCATCCAAATTTAGACCAATACATATGTCATGTGCATTAGTGTTATATACATGACATACATGCAATATACATATAATATACAAGTGATCAATATCGTATGTTATTATTTAACATAAACTTTGACTTATAATTTAAATCAATTAAATATATAAAAGTAAGGCCACAAGCAATCGATTTATATCAATTTTACAAGTACAAGATAGACGATTTCAGTGGTGATAGTAAGAAAGAATAACAAAATCAATTGCAGAAGAAGTAAACAAAGAAAAATTCAATTGAATAGCTTCTTGTAGATCTTGAATTGCCCAATGACAAATCTGACAATTTGCTTATATAATAGCAGTGAGAAACAGAAAGAATTAAATTAGATACAAATTAAATGAGGGAAGTAGTAATTTAAATAATATTGACTATCGTAATTGTCCCCTTATATCTCGCATATCTAGGGGTGTACAAAAGAAACCGACAAACCGTACTAACCCGATAATTCAAGTCAACTCGAGAAAAATATGCGATTATGGTTTGATTTGATTTGGCTTGGTGTTGGGGAAAAAAACCCAACCATAATTGGTTTGGTTTGGTTTTAACTAAAGAAAGTCAAACCGAAACCAAACCAACCCGACATTACATATATAGAAATTTTAGATATATTTAATATATAAATATACTTATTGTGATGTAATTTATAAATATTTTTTAAAAAAAATTCATAATTTTATCTTTTACTATATTATTTCAAGGTTGGATTTAGAACTTTTGAATATTCCAATAAGTTTTATAGCTATTAACATTAGTAAATTAAATAATGTTAACAAAAGCCCAAACCAAAATTAAATCAATACTAGTGCTAACAAAGATATTCAATTCAATACTACAAACGAGAATGTATTGAATATCTATTTTTTGTTTTGCAATAATTTAGATAAAAATGGCTAACCTATTTTTATTTTTTCTTTAGCGCTTAGTCATGTAATTAATACTACCTTATTAGTCTATTTATTTTAGCATGACTTAGTACTTTAGATTATGTTTATTTTTATTATGACTTTTTAATTAGCATTATATTACATAATTTTATTGTCTTTATTGTTGAATATTTTAGGATAATGCCATGACACATCTCATATTTTGTATTGTTTTCTTGGAAAATACTTTATATAGTTGTATCNGTATTTTACCAGAATTAAAGAAATAATTTGAGCACAATTTATATGTTTTGTTCTACGAAGATTTTACCGGAGAAAAATCCGAAAAAACCCGAAAAAAATCGAGAGTGAAAAATCCGAGTTTTATTGGTTTGATTTGGTCTTTAGATTTAGTATCCCGATACAATTGATTTGGTTTGGTAATTGTAAAATCCGAATAAATCGGACCTATGTATAGCATATCTACCAGCCTTACTAAATCCTCGAATATGTAAAAAAATTTTAACAGCTCTGTAGTTAATGTCAAATTCAGTTTCTTTCGAACTTGTCGATCTTTTTGCTTTATCCGTACATGTGAGACTAGTTCGGAGAATCTTCCCCTATGACTTTCTAGATCTCGATGCAATTGATCTTGTAATACATTCTTTAAATGACCTTCCAATTTATCTCTTATCTTCGTAAAGGCGGACTGTGCACTGCCTGCCACGTGTTGCTAGTTAACTCGTCCACATGGCAAGTCCGACTTTTACCAAAACAGCCATTTGTGTACCTTTTATATATTCTACTATATATGTATGTCATTGGTATCAAATGTTATATACATGACATACATAGGATATACAAGTGACATATATATATATGACTTCCAAGTGTCATACACGTGAAACTCGGGGTGCGCATCGGTCGGTTCGGTTCGGTTGTGAATATTATCGGTTTTGCATATCGGTTATTGATTTACAAATATGATAAACCGATAACCGAACCGATAAGATATCGCTTATCGGTTATCAGTTAATCGGTTATTGACCATTATCGGTTCGGTTATCGGTTTACCCGATAAGATAACTCAATCTAGAGTTAAGAGAAAAAAAAAGAATTCACCAGAGTAAAGCAAAAAAGAGAAGAATTCACATATAGTATACTACCCATTTCTGCGTTCTGGCCACAACTAATATTTGAAGCATTCTTCATTTTGACAAATTCAAGACCTGTGCAATCTCAAAAATTAATACTACATCTCCACAAGTATTTCATCTCCAATTCGCTGGAAATAAAAGTTAACAGGAACATAAATAATAATTTTTTGGTTTCCTGCCAAACCATAATCAAGAGATCAATGTCTTTCTTCAGAGTCTAATTGTAGCAAGAGCAGCAAGAGTATTAGTAATTCAATAGTTGTGCAAACACAACTAAAATAGTACTAATTCTTATTGGGTTATCGGTTTACCCGTTAAGAAATTGGACAAACCGAGGCCCGAACCGATAACCCAATAGTGAAAAAATATTAAACCGTTACCGAACCGTTAACCCAATAACCCGATATCGATACCCCCAATAAGCTTTTTTCGATTCGGGCTATCGGTTATACTCGATATATGCCCAGCCTTACGTGAAACACAAAGTTGTAGTGACATTTTTCAGCTCCGAATTTTGATTCTAAACCAGTCCAGATAACCTTCAATCTTCTTCAAAATTTTTAAATAGTCTCGTATGTTTCCGACGAATTTCAAGCTCACCCACTCAAAAATAACCATTAAAATTTTTTAATTCGAACTTAAGTTTCAAATTAGTTTTTAATGGTGGTCCTCCAAAGAAGAAATGAACAAAAAAAATAATTAGGCGAAGGAGTTTCTGCGTAATGAAAAGAGAACAGAAAGAAGTTGAGGAAGCCATAGGAGTTGCGCTTAAAAATTATGAGAGACAAGATAAGAAAAAAGAAAAGATATTTAAAATCCTTATAGTATGGGTTTTATTGGATGTGTATATATTATGGAAAGATTTTGTTATTATATTCTGAAGTAGTGTGTATGTTATTAAAAAAAATTAATTTTATTTCGCATATCTGAAAATTTGGCACAAGTATTCTTCGCAGGGCAGAGGCACAAGCCGCCTTACATATTCGGCCGAACCCAATAGCTTTTGTTCAAACAGTATATTTGAATTTTGAAATTGAAATTTTGCTAAAAGAGATGCAAAATGCAATCCCTAAACTTATTTCATCATCCAATTAGAGAGATGAAAGGAACAGGAACCAAAGTCAAGTGTATCCCAGCTTAAAAAATTTATAATAGAAATTCTCAGTACATAAAAAGAGGAAGGGAGGAGTAGTACTAAAGGAATAACGTCATTGCAGATAAAGGAAATTGAAATGACTTCCATCATCATAGTCAAGTGTGTCAACAACAGTAATCACAAACCAAGAATTTCAATAATAAATTAACAGAAAGCTCTTTCACAAACCAAGAATTTCAATGGAAACATGCAAGTCCAAATAACTGAAATTCATTGCACATCAAAGTCTCTATTTACAGGTCAACCAGAATACATAAAACAGCCGCCGGGGATGATATCAACAAGTTGATGCAATAGCCTCCAGAAGAGCAACTACAAATTCCATTTGTGTTTCCTGGTTCACTCTGTTAAAGGTAGGAACATGGACAAAGATAGACTTGTGACCTTTTTTCTCTGCAAACCGGAGAGAATGGTAATATACATAATTGCACACAAAACGGCCTGCATCGTCAGACATTGTTACTTCAAAGCCTTTCTTCTTTAAGAATTCCAGGATTCCCTCGGCAGAGCAAGATGTCTTCAACCACCCAAAATAATAGATTAGGACACAAGGAAAACGGACAGAATACAGGCGAAGAACTTATTATCAATGGGAACTGATAAAAAATCTCTTTACTGAAACAAGTGAAAATATGCAATGTCAATAATACTCATCACAAATGTCACTTTTTTAAAACCAAGAATATGCAAATTTTGGAGTAGTTCTTCTAGACATAACATTTTGATAGAGACTGAAGGCTAGCCAAATTATTATATCTTAACTTTTTCTACTTTGTGCATTTTGTCGACATTTGATGCATTAAATCTCCTTCCTCATTTAGCCCTATATTTTTTTTGATTTGCACCGGGTGTCCGAGTCTCTTCGAGCCCCGACTATTCCCGGGGGTGCACAGGCCCTCGGCAAGGAGTTTCCCGCAAGTGCACCACGGTTAATTCAGGTTTTTACCCAGTCCGATGGCCCTCAGAAATTGTTTGCACCCAGTGGGTTTCGAACTTGAGATCTTGAAAGGGAGCAAACCCCAAGGCTCAAGTCAATTGTCAGCCCTATATTTATAAGTATCTTGTTTAAAGTAATCTTTTTAGAAAAATTCTTCTCTTCTCTCAACCTTAAAAATCAAATTTTCACAAACAAAATTCAAGATGACCTCCTCATCTATCTCATCTACATGTCACTTCAATTCCAAGGGCACTTTTGGCTATTCTTTACTTTTTCAGCTACTTTTCTTTTTGGTTTTAAATTTTCTTTTGCCTTCGAACATTCTTATGGAAGTTTTGCTGAACTCTACTCAATGCATTCAATTACTGCAGGTCTATTTTTTGAAACTCATATAATATTACGTCCTCATAATATTGATTGTAGTATTGGTTGCTCATTTTTCTTTACAAATTAGATCCGAGATTTGCATGAAATAGAGGTCTTTTCTCCTTTTTTATTTTTCACTTATCCTAGCAAAAAAATAAATGCATATGCTTATTTCAAAGAGAACTTTTTTTCAGTTTATCGAGCAACATGCATATAAACATGCCAAGAAAAAAATTACTTTCGTCTTTAGTTGAATGATGTATTTTGCTAGCACAAATGAAAGAAATATAAGATACTTCTTCATCTAATATACATAAGCAGATTTAGTAAATATCATATGAGGAATAGAAAAGACCTTTCTTGCTTGATTTATTCCTCCATCCTCTGGAACAATAGGCAATCGCTGTGGAAATAAATAAGCATCTTAGCATCACGAAACATCAAGCTAGCTCATCTCAGCCTACTTCATTTTAGTCATGAAATAAAGACACCCTACCTGAGGTTGCCAACCAAGCTCATCTGCACAACGAAATGTGGCTTCATTCACTGCCAGACTCTCAATTGCAAACTTCGTTGATCCACTGTTTACTCCAAGGTGAAGCTGAGCAGATAAAACAAGACTTTTATATCAAGAATGCTTCTTATTTTTCTCCAAGCATTCCAAGTGTGTGTGTGAGAGAGAGAGAGAAGGTGGGGACGGGGGTTAGGAGCAGGCATAGTAAAACGCAAGGCCATCAGAAAATAGCACATCAATAATGTATGCATGATAAACTCTCCCTACCAGACTCAAAGTTCTCATGCAGGGCTGAAGTTATGCTGTTTTCATCACTTGCACATTTTCTCTCTATGATCCTTGATTTCAAACCCTTCTAATCTTCTCTATATCATAGCTATACGGTTAAGTATTTCCGAAAAGAAATCCAATCAAAAGTCCTCACAAACACTGCCGCAAAGAGTGTCCCTCGTGGACTTTTTCCATGCTTCAAAGGGGCTTTCCTATTGTTTGCACATTGAAGACCGGATATGTACCACCAATTTCTATGGATTTAAGTTGGCATGCTAGAATGCCAAATAATGGTTATGTATCCTGATATCCCACTAAAAATTGGTAGCTAATTGTTGAGAAAACCGATTAGCTAGAAAGTTAGGCAGCAAGAGGGCTTATGTTTTGGCCTTCTTTTCCCTTCAGTCATGCACTCTCAATCCAAAGACTCAATTGCTAGTCTCTTGGTCACAAATTAGCATCTATTCGTATGTTTTTACTATTATGTCTGAGATGGTAATGGAACTAACAAATAAGCGTCATACTATCAAAATAAGTTAGTCCGTGAAATTTGGTCTTCCACAAGGATAGAGAGTTTATCTTTCAGTTATCCAATTTTAAACCTCCAAAGTCTATGGCCACAAGTTCAGACATAGTTGCACGGTCTGATGCATGCATACTTGTAGTCAAATTCATCTACAAGTGTCAATAAAAGAAAATGGAAAACTAACTAGCAATAGTTGCTCCATGGTGTACCTGCTACCTCCCACCAGCAACAGGTACCAGGTAACTCTATCCACCAAGGCTTGGACATATAGGAAGAAATCACCTAGTGCTTTTGTCTCCGCTGGAATTTGAACCTAAGACCTCATGGTTTTCAACCCACTTCATTGATCACTAGGCCACACACATGGGTGCAGAACCAACTCTTATATTGAACTCAATAATATAAGAGTTGGTACTATTGAACTCAATAATGGAACCAACTCTTATATTATGGAGTTCAATAAACCTTTCCTCCCTGTACTCTGTCCCCAAGGTCAAACCATCATCGATCCATATCATTTTATATTCATCGTATGTGGAGTTTGATATTAGACTAGCTGCAAAATGCTCTAGGCTGAAACTAGGGCAGGAAATAGATACCTTCTAATTCCACCAGACTTGAATAAGCCCTCAATCTAACACTGTACGAGTATCGATCATTAGATCACCCAATTCATTTACCCAAGAAAATGTCTACAATTCGGAGGTAGTAAATAAAATTGAAAGCATCAGCAAAAAAGAGAACCACACATCCAATTATTCATGCTTCATAAATGTGCATAGTTTGTGTATATTCCTGCAATTTGCTGCATAAAAAAATTTAAAGAGGGAAAATTAATCGACACAAATTAGTCCAAGGAAAAGGTTGTCTTGGAAGAACTAACCCATATGACTTGTCCATTATTTGAACTGTTTTCTGAAGAGGACTCTGACTCTATGACCTTCAACAATGTCGGAAGTCCACCCTCTCCAGCAGTTTCAAGAACAGTACAGCTACCCAAGGTCACACCAGCAGGTAATCCTCTCTTTTTAACAAAATCTTTCAAGCTATTAACTGTTGTCTCTGTAGGATTCTGAGCAACACCGTGAAATTTCTTGAACCCCGTCACATGAATTGTCACAGATTTTGGCCCCTCTGATCCCATTTCCTCGTTCAAAACACGAACACGATTCCTAATACTTGATAGCTTCCACAATTAATTACCTGTTCACAACAGCCTCTTAATCTTGATCAAACATTCAAAGCTCTTAAAAGCAACAGTTTGACATTTCAGCATAACATGACAAGTACATTTGTTAAATTAGCCCTCCTAACTTCATACACAAATGCAATTCCTTAAAGCAATTAATAAACAGTTGAGCCATTTAAATTACTTCCTGAATTTTGACAAACAATCAAAATGGGCAAAACAACATCTCTATATTTCAATTCAGCACAAAAAGTAAAAGTTAAAAGAACATTCTCAGTGCTTACAAAACAATTGACAAGGGAAAAACAAAAACCACGATAGCTACATGATTAAACATATATTCACCTTATTATTCATTAATCCCCCTTGATTTACCAGGGCAGTCCCCGACCACATTTTGCATACCGAGACTAACTCATCTTCTGATCTGACCAAACAGCCTAACCCCATTGGAAATTAAATCCTAAACCTGGCATACAAATCTGAAGCATGCCTATCTACACAAGGTGATTCCTGTATATAATCACAATGCAATGAAAAACAGGGTGTATATACTATTCTAAAGGGAAAGTCAACCTATTTACAAAATACCCATCAAACCTCACTTTGGAACCAGATTAAGTAAAAGACACATGAAAACAAAAGGAAATCCTCTTTACATATATAAGAGGTCATAACTTTAACAAAGAATCAGCTGCATAATTACCCAAAATTTCCAAAAATAAAGGCACACAACATAAAAATTTAAAAAGTGACAGCTACCCAAATTTACCAGTTTGAGTAAAATCAAGAACACAGAGCTACTAAAGGCCAAAGGCAACTGCTTAACAAAACACCCATCAGATGATAATCCTGAACAACTTGATAAAACCAGATTAACAAGTGAATATATTGGGGGGGGGGGGGGAACAAGATCATAACTTTACACAAGGAATCAGCTGACAATTACACCAAAAGGTCCTGAATTTCCAAAGGAAATGATGTTGCATTCCTATATACAAATAAAAACAACTTATATTACACAAAGAAAAGAATTACGGTGAAAAATCAAGACCATAGAATGGAAAAATAAAGACTACCCATATATATACCAATTTGAGTGAAATTAAAAAAGCAAAAGATCACAACCTTAAACAACGAATCAGATGCATAATTGAACCAAAAAGTCCAGAATTATCCATAAATAATCATATATACAAATAAAAACAACAATTCAATAGTATTACCCAAATAAACAGTTGTCTAGAAAAATCAAGAGCCCATATTGGAAACATAAAGACTACCGATATACTATACCAATAAATCAATAATATTGAGAGATTTCATGATATGGGTTTTACCTAAATTGGGTGGAGGCTTATTCCAGCTCTTTCTTTTCTCGGGATTGTCAAATACAAGAAAACAGAGTGAACAAAGTTGGTGTTAGCTGTATAGTATTTGATTGCCGGTACAAAATAAGCTGATCCAGTGTTTTATTTACATATTAATATACGGCGACTTTAGCTACTCATTTGTTTTGTCTGCTACCCTCTTCTCGTAAGGAGTGTGGAGTAGGGACCCGCTGTTGGATTGCTCAACGGTGATTGATTGGACTCATATACCATCACTACACTCTTTATTTGTGCCAAGCTTCTTTTTTCACTTTCTTTTTCACTAGTCTCAAGTCTCACTATACGCTTGTTGCACGTGTTCTCTACGAGTATACTCCCTCCACTCCACAATTGATCACTTTATCTTTAACACATTCGTTAAGAAAATAGGAACTCCTAAAAAAATGTGATCACTAAATTAATCTTAATTAATTATTATTAAAATATATAAATACAGGCAAAATTTTAAAAAAGTAAAATAATCATTTATTATGGACCGAAAAGAGTAATATTTTACAAAATTAGATAAGTATTTTAAAATTTGTTCTTGAGTCATAAATTGTTAGTGTAGATATGTCTCGGGCCCAATCTAATAAAGGAAAGCAGCAGACATTAAAAGAGGTTGCACATTTACTTGTATTCATTGTATTTTAGTCTGTAACTATTTTTTCATATTTTTAATTCAATTAGTACATGTATATACGGGCCCACATGGACAACTAATAAGATAGATTGGTCAAAACAGAATTAACCGACTCATTATCTCATCTTCGTCTCTCTTCTTCTCTCTTTCATCTAAGGTTTCTTTCTCTTTAAATCCGCCATAACTCACACAATTTCAAGCTAACATGGTATTAGAGCGGGAATCTTGACCCCTCTTGTTGTAAGCTTTACTCTAATGGTATTTTTTCTCAAAAACTCTGTCAATTTCGGTACTTATTTGATACTCATAGCGAACCTAGCGATCTTCAATTTTCGTCGATGAAAATTGGGGATTTCTTCATTTCTGGCTTCGGACAACTTATTCCAGTAGGAAGTTTCGATTGCTCAAGGATTTTCGGCGATTTTTGTGACTTCAATCATTTTCTAGGGTTTGCATGTCTCAAGATCTTACTTCTTCGGGTTTTAGAAGAAGGCTGGTAACATCTTTCTAGTCTATATTCTTCGAGATTGTCTAGATTTTGGCTTGCATGCAATTGATATTTTGTCAACATATATTTTACTTGAAATTTAGTATGGTCGTACTCGTTTATATCTAGTTTTTTGTTGTTATTGTGCTCCACATTATGGGTAGCCTCATGGATAACGCTGAACCTTCTTCTACCTCTAACGGGTTTACTTCGTTTACCCTAGACCCTTCTCACCCTTTCTATATCCATCCATCTGACAATCCTGGCAGTCAATTAGTATTTGTGTCATTCAATGGATGTGGTTTTGTTCTTTGGCGTAGTAGTATGCTCACTCTCTCTCTCTGCAAAAAATAAACTTAGTATGTTAGATGGGAGAGTTTCACAACCCTCTCCTAAATCACCATATTTTCCATATTGGGAACGGTGTAATGATATGGTGAAGGCCTGGATAACGAATTCTGTATCTAGGGAAATAGCCACTAGTGTTATGTGCTTTAAGACTGCCAAGGAAGTTTGGAAGGACATCAATGTGGGATTTGGTCAGTCGAATGGCTCTAAGTACATCCAAATCTAGAAGGCAATCAGCTCAACCACTTAGGGTTCATCTGATATAGCTCCTACTTCACTAAGATGGAGAGTTTATGGGATGAATTAAACTCCTCCTATGTAGGGGATGTTTGTTCTTGTGGGGCCATACCTAAATTCATTGAGGATCAATAATTATTTCAGTTTCTCAATGGTCTAAATGATTCCTATTCCACAGTCAAGAGTATTATTATGTTGATGAACCCTTTTTTACCCATTAGTAAAGCCTACTCACTCTTGTAACAAAATGAAAGCCAAAGGGAAGCCCAATCTGCTGCACCAAATTTCTCTAGTAGTGATACAGCCTCCTTCCTTGTCTCTCCTACATCCTCCAGCACTAATAGGAACTTTACTCAGAAAGTCAATTTTGAGACTAGGAAGGGTACTACATCTCTTACATGCAAATACTGCAAGAAACATAGTCACAGTGTGGATAAGTGCTACAGACTCCATGGATTTCCACCAGATTCCAAATTCACCAGAAATAAGAACTATGCCTCCTGTGCCCAGGCTGAGAATTTATCAATTGTTCCTGCAAACTCTTTTCCACAAAATTCTAACTCCTCAACACATGGGTTTATCAAGGAACAATACCAACATCTCTTGACCTTGTTTCAACAATGTGACGACTCGGCCCGTCGTCTCATGGGTTATCGCTCCATTTTTTTCCCATTCTCAGCTTCTTTATGCTTTATTATCCATATCTTATGTGATCGAGTTGGTTTGGAGTGGTTTTGATAAGAAATGAGACAATTAGTCTCTTTTAAGAAGGCTTAAGTTGGAAAAGTCAACCCGATGTTGACTTATGAGTTAGAGGGATCGGATGTGAGTTTCGATGATTCGGTTAGCTTCGGGGGATGATTTGTGACTTAGGAGTGTGATCGGAAGTAATTTTGGAGGTCTGGTGTAGAATTAGGCTTGAATTGGCGAAGTTAGTATTTTGGCGAATTCCGGTTGATAGGTGAGATTTTGATCCAAGAGTCGGAATGGAATTCCGAGAGTTGNNTCGTTAGGTGATTTGGGATATGTTTGCAAATTTTCAGGTCATTCGGACGTGGTTTGGTCGGGTTTTTTATCGAAAGTGTATTTCGGAAGTTTTTAGAAAATTAGGCTTGAATTCGATGAGTTTTGGGTAATTTGATGTTGTTTGAGGTGTTTTGATGATTGGAAGAGGTTTGAATAATGTTATGAATTATGTTGGCATGTTTGGTCGGGGTCCCATGAGGCTCGGATAAGTTTTGGAAGAGTTTTTGGAAGATTTTTGTCGTTTGAGCATAAGCATGTAATGATCCAAAGGTCCATTTTTAGTTCTGGAGATCGAAATTTTATTTAGAGATTTCTAGAATTTAAATAATGAATTATAGGAGTGATCTGGAAAGTTTGGTCTAATTTCATCAAGTCGCGATTGGGTTTTTGACACGAAACATGAGTTAATTGTTTAACGAGCGAAATGGATATCGCACTGAGCAAACGAGCTCCGAATTGAGTTTCGATTGAAGTACTATGTTCGTATCATTATTTGTGACTAATAGGAATAAGAATCATCGAATTCCGAGTTCGTATGATGGAGTTAGAGTTATTTTAGTAAAAAGAAAAGTGCTGCAATTTCTTTGGCTGCTGCTGTATTTTTTTTGCAGCGTGAACAGTAACCGCGCGGGTGAACAGTGATCACGCGCATGAATAGTGACCATGCGCGTAAACAGTAACCGCACGGTGAACAGTACTTCCGAAAAATTCTTGGCAGTGAGTTTAATAAACATTTCACCCGCGATCCAAGTCCCATTTCCTCCATTTTTGAGCAACCTTGAGAGCTTTTGGACGGGGATTGAAGGGGGTTCCTACAGGAAATGATTGGAGGTAAGTCCTATGAACTAAAAACACATTTTTATTGTGAAATTGATCTTGGAATCCATGGAAATTTAGCGAAAGAGGAAGAACTAGGGCTTGAGTTTTAATATTTCAAATTTGGATTTAAGAGGTCATTTGGACTCCGATTTTGGTAAATTTAATATATATAGACTCGTGGCGAGATAAGGAATCCGGTGATGTCAATTTTCTAATTTTTCGAGACGTGGGCCCGGGGCTCGAGTTTTGCCAAATTCGTGAATTTTGATATTTTTCGAGTGCTTTCGATTGGGTATTGTCTCTTTAGCATTATGTGACATATTCATTGCGATTTTGGGTAGATTTGACGCATGTGGAGGCCAATTCAAGGGGCAAAGGCGTCGCGAATTAAAGAAATAGCCGGTTTGAGGGGAGTAATTGATGTAAATGATGTCCTGAGGGTTTGAAACCCCGGAATTTTACATCGTAACGCTTTATTGAGGTGACTTGCACGCCGGATAACGGGCGTGGGGTAGAGCACCATTGGGGATTGTGACTTGGTCCGTCCTGAGAGATGTTTTTACCGTGTTTTCTATTTAAACTAAATTGAGAATCATCCTTACTTGGATTTAATTATTACATTTGGGCTTCTTGCCAATTATTTGAATCCTTCAGGGATTGACATCACTGTTTTCGCATATATGCATATCATTTGATCTCAGTCCAAGGTTTTAAATACTATTTTGCAAACTCAGCCATCTTTCTAAGATTTGAAAACTTAAATGATATTTCTAAATGATATTTCGGGCTGAGAACTACTGTTTTACAAATGCCCAAGGGGCTTATGATGATTTCTGGACTGAGCATGGATCGGGCTGCGCGCCGCAACAGTGTTATATTGATATTGAGGCTGAGATCCTGGTTGATTACATTGATATTGAGGCCGAGAGCCTGGGTGATTATACTGATATTTATATGAGGCTGATGGCCTAGATTGGATGCCGCGAGATGGCTTTATATTGCGCTTGGGCTGTAGGAGCCCCTCCGGAGTCTGTACACACCCCCAGTNATAATGACTTAGTAAATTCTTTGTGATATTTATCTATAATCTGAATAAAAATTTGGGTTAATGTTGTTGAATGGTCGGGCTTGCCTAGCAGTGTGTTGGGCGTCATCATGATCGGGGTTGGGGTCGTGACAAACAAGCTCAAATGTCTGTTGCTCCTACTTCTGATGTTATAAATGTGAACAACTCTGCTTTTGCTCACTTTGTAGGTTTGTTTAGCAAATATGTTGTAGTTTTTGTGGATTCTCATACATGTGCATCATCACAATTAGGTGTAAATCCTTGGATCCTAGATACAGGTGCCACTAATTACATGACTCCATAAACACATTCTATTCAATGTGCAACCTTTAATTAAACCTTATATGGTAACTATACCTAATGGATATAAATCTAAAGTTATATCAACTGGATCATTGCATCTTAAACATGATATAATTACTGAATGTCCTTCTTGTACCATTTTTTTAATTTTAATTTGATATCTGTCCACCAACTCATATCTCAACTGGAGTGTTCAGCACTGTTTACCAAATCATTATGTTTTTTACAGGGCCCTTCTCTGAAGAGGCCATTAGAAATTGGTAG